GGTGGGGTTGGGGTTGGAGGTGGGGTTGGAGGTGGAGGTGGAGGTGGAGGTGGGGATGGAGGTGGAGGTGGGATTGGAGGTGGGGTTGGAGGTGGGGATGGAGGTGGAGGTGGAGGTGGAGGTGGAGGTGGAGGTGGAGGTGGGGTTGGAGGTGGAGATAGGATGGAGCCAATTCACACACAGGTGCATATGCACACACACCCCTTTGAGTTCATTTACAAATTTTTAATCTTTTATTTTGACAAATTTCAGACTAACAGACATGTTGCAGCCATGGTGTAAAGAATCCCCGTACACACCTTGTCCCTCCCCGACAAATGGTGGGGCGTGCTGGGTGTGTTAGTACTCCGGCACTTTGGTCTGTCTTGCACAGGCCAAGCACATCCTTGTGGCCAGTGACTGCCCCCAGCAGAGAGAAGAAAGGTATTTGGGGCATGCACATCTGGGTGGCCCTGACGGTGTCTACTGCAGTGCACCCCTTGCACTGCATTGATCCACTGTGCCCACATTGGCTTCATTCTGTCTTGTTACTGACTCTTCAGGGCGGTGGCCAGTAGTGGTCCCCAGTGGGCCAAACAATGGTCCCTGCTGTTGGCTCTGAGGTCTGAAATAGCATTCGCCAGCTGCTGCATACCACCCACCGTGGACGCCCCTCTGCCTTGGAGCGCTGTTCTGGGTAAGCCGCCCACCTCAAAGCATATCTAATACCCATTCCTGAGGGTCTGACCCTTGGCCTCTCCCTTGTCAGGCTGTGGTTGCTATGAATGCCATGTCCTGGGCGAGTCAGTGCCAGAGAAGACCAGAGAATTCTCTGGGTTCAGGATGTGCTCTCCACCCCATTTGCGTGGAGGCAGCCCAGCTCAGCTCGACAGACTACAAGCAACCCTCTCCTTTGTCTCTGGGTTCACTGGCGTGAGTTGCCCAAGGTGGCCGGTGGTGTCTGTGGCTCCGGGTTCCGGTTGCTCCCAGGAGCTCTCACCACATGACTGCATGTTTTGCAGACAGGAAGTAGAAATTCTACAAGTGGATCTTTGGATAATATCCAGAAGGATCAGTGACGTTGCCCCCATAACTGGAAACACTGTTCGCGGTGGGAATGAGTCACAGGGACCACGGTGCGGCCGTCAGGGGGTCAGAGAGCAGAAGGGGGCTAATGCCCTCTGGGCAAGCCACCTGGTCTTGCAGCTTTCTGAGATTTCTCCCTGGTGGCCTCCCTGTTGGTCGCTGACAGGAGACCGCAGATACACCGGTCCCCCCGTGTCGCATACCCACGTCTTTACATAGATTGTCTCCAGTTTCCAGTCTTGCTCCTTCCCAGACCCCGACCGTCAGAGCCATTCACCCCTGCCCAGGCTCCTCTGCACATGCTTACCCAGGGCCACCTCTGCTCCTACATCACGTTAATGACCAAGGGTCCTGCTCTGAGCCGTGCCACCAGAAATGTTTCCTTGCTCCCCCACCCCACAGCAACCCAATTTTGTCTCGGTTCCTGAGTATAACAGACATTCTGTGGCCAAATAAATCACATTGATCAAACTTTGTTCTTTTAGAGGTGATTCTGGTGTCCATGACCCATGCTCAGAGTAGCATATAAATGCTATACCTAAAGCATTTGAGCCAAGGGGAGTATTTTTAAATTGGTGATACATTTGAAACATGAATCCCAGAGATTTCAAAACCTTTCCACTTTGCAAATAAAAAAAATCAATATGCAATGCAATTTCTTTAGCCTCATGTCTAAGTAACCAATTTTCTAACTTCACAGATTTTCTATCAACATGGGACACCTCTTGCATTTAATATGTGGAGTACCATTTTTACATCTGTGGTACTCTGTAGGCTAGTATTTCCAAAGTGTGGTCTACATGTGATATATATGATTTTAAACATAAACTGATTTGACCAACTATGTTATCAAATAATTTTGGACACCCTCTCAGAGCCTGTGGTGTGCAAGGCCAGCCCAGCCCCCCAAGCAGCATGCCTCACGGAGCATCATGCCCTGCACTTGTTTGATCAGGAACTCTGATCAAGGGACAATCTTCAGAAACTATGTCCTGTCAAGAAGAGATCTCTTAAGTGAACTTAATGAGGCAGAATTCAAAACTTTTAGAAATTATAATGAGGCCGATGTCATAGTGAACAAAAAATATAAATGATTCACCATGGATTTTATCACAGAATATTGAGGGATGAGATGGTGTGATGTGTGGGTTTCCTCAGCAGTAATCCAGGCAGGGGGCAGCCCACAATCTGAGGCCACCATGAGCTGGTGGCGGTGATAGGAACATAGGGCTTGTTAGTGGTGCTCTGCCCTTTGTGGGGGTTTGTCCTTGCTCAAGACGAAGATGTTAGAAATGAGAAACAGGAAGTGAAGAAAAGAAAGGAAGAAAGCCAGCAAATCACTGATCTTAATAATTCAGATTAATGGTATTGTATTTTATCGCCATAGATGTTTTTAACTCACTTGGGCATAATTTCATCCACCTTAATCCCTGGCCTGGCTTGTGCAGTATCTACCCGAACATACACATTTTGAGCAATAGCAAAAGCACATCTCGAAGAAGGAAATCACAGGCAGTTCACCATTCATCCTGGTCTGCGTAGCAGTTGCAGTGGTACTGGGAGTCAACGCAGTTCCCCGCTAATCCGCAAGCACACATCTGGGCCTCGGGCACGGAACCTGCCCAGTAAGTGCGTATCTCATGGGTGCTTCCAACCCACCAGCTCAGAGGGGTTCCATCTGAAAGACAGGTTTGCGAAAGGTGACTTCTGCTTGGCCCCCGGGCCCTGCCTCCCCCAGATGACCCCCTTCTCTCCCAGTCTGCTATTGAGAAACCGGCAGCCAAGAACAAATCTGCTTCGGAAGTGAACCTATTCTTAACACTGTGACAGGATGATGTTTCTATGAGAATTCTAATCCAACTTTGGGTTTGTCTGATTACATCCCTTGAAAATAAATGACGGCACCCAAGTCTTTCCATCGTGGCATTAAATAATTTTTAATCAGCAAAATTATGTGATTTCTTCAAGAACTATATTAAAAAGTGAGTTGCCATCAGGATTAAAACGCAGCTACACGAGAGGCTGACACCTGCTGTGGATCTGAATGCCTGTCGGATCGAAACAACCCCGCCCAGACAGGCAGGCTCCCGGCATCACGCTCTCCGAGGCCCTGGCCGCAAGCCTCCTCGGGGCACCGCGTGGGGCGTACCCCTGCCGAGGCCTGGCTGGTTTGGGGCACCGCTGCGCTGAAAAGCGAGTCCACGCCTCTGCAGGGTGAACTCTTTACCCCTGCCTGAGCGCCTCTTCTGTTCTGAAAGCTCTCCTGAGCAGCGGCACCCCACTGGACCACAGCCCATGGCTGCCTTGTTATGACCCCTCGCAAATGCCCCGGGCCACCGAAGGAGAGGGACAACGTCTCCAAGAGCCCCAGGCCACCCCATGCCCGGGAGCCGGTGATGAGCGGGGGTGCAGCGGGAGATGCACCCATGGGGCTCGTGGGAGGCGGGGCTGTGTGGACATTCCTCCACGCCTGTAAGTGGCTGAGCGGCCACCAAGAAACTCTGTGCACCCAATGTGTGGCAGGGCCGTGGTCCGTCCCGCTCCCTGTCAGATTTGGACCTCTCCACCCAGGACTGATAACCGCTCACAAGAAAATGCCTGGCCACTGCGAACTCCCCGTGGGACCGGGAAGAGAGTGCGAGAAGGCATCTAAGATCAATTTCTTCCAAGTTAGGCTGAAAGCTCATTGCAGGAAGGCTAATGGCACTTAAAATATTTAATAGATATTTTGATAATAACACTTTAAAGTTTTAATTATTTCACCATTATGCTTTCAAACCAGAGAGAAATGACATCACCGGGCTGCATCTTGTAAGTGTGTTTTCTACATCGCTCATCTCTCCCGCCAACAGTGATTCTCCAAAGGTTGTCATAACACCTAGGGCCTCTGCTTGCATTTGTGAGTTGTTAGGTACTATAGAGACTGGGGGGAGGCAGGAGGGTCTGCCTGGGAGCGGGAGAGCCTGGCCCGCCAGCGGAAGCCCTTGGCCGTCCTTCCCTTTAATCTGCAGGAGCTCCTTTGCAGAAGAAGCAACCTCGAGTGACTGGGTTTAATCTGAGGCTACATATACTTTTCTGGCATTTCCCTCGTGGGTGAAAAGAGGAGTGATTTGCAAAATTCAGATGAGCTTGTACCATAAATCACGTGCAGCATCCACACTAGGAAACCAGGAGCTGAGGAGCCAGTGTGGGGTTTGGTGAGAGTGGTCATGCCTGGAGGTCCCTGGACCCTGCAGGGGCGTACGGAGCAGGGCCTGAGAGCTTCCCAAACAGGAGCATGCACGGTGGAAGCCATGTCCAGAAAGACACGTTCCTTCATAAAGAGTGAAATAGTAGAAAAATTGGGGCCAGATGCTTGGGAAGAGCAGTGAGGACTGGGGGACCAGGACTCGAGGCGCTAATAGGACACAGGAAATGGTGACTCGGTGAGTGGTCAGAAGGAAGAAAGGCACAGCCTGAAGCAGCCCCGAGAGTCAGTCTGGATACGATAGAGAAAGGTAAGCATCTGCCCCTGGATCAAGCTAGACCTGTGCTCCGTGCCTCCTCCACCCGCACCTCAGCACTGGGGGCTGGGGCTGGTGGGGGTTGGCGGGGCTGTGCACGTCATTGGCACCTACCTCGTGAGTCCCGGAGCCGAGACCTCCTGCAGTGGAACTCCAGCTGCTGCTGGCAATGCCCGGCGCGGGCGATGGCGGCCAGCAGGTGCTCCAGGCTGGCCTCGTACTGGAACACCGCCCGGTGCAGGTTCTCCTGGTCTGCGCCCTTGACCCTGGTGAGGCCTGAGCCATTGTGCTGCATGACGGTCCACGGGATGTCTCACAGGTGGAGCGGGAAAGAAAGGAGAGGAGCGTCACTGAGCTGGCCACTCAGCACCGCCGGTCGCCTTCTAGTGGGCAGACGCAGAGTCAACGCAAATGGGACTCTAAACCTTAAATCATGGGAGAGAGTGGTCTTCCTGTGATGATGTGTGTCATTTATGTCTGAGCTGATCCTTTCGTGAAAGTGGGTGTTTCTGGATTTTTAGCCAGACAACATTTATGGGAGAGAAAAAGACGTATAACTTAGTTATTCAATTTCTCTAATAACCTAAAGTAATGCAAGGCAAACGATGGCTTTTCTGCTTTAACACACACTCTACTCTTCACTGGAGAATGAGCCTGACGCTGTCAGCAACCTGTGTTCCTCTTATGTGCACTGACCTGCAGGCTCTCTGTAGGTCACTGTGGCATCACACCTGCTCTGCTCAGAGCTGAGAGGCAAGGAGAAGGGGCATTCCTGGACCCACACCTGACCCTGCTCTGCAGGGTGAGATACCATGGCCTGTGACAGTGCCGTGACCCCTGGCCACTTCTGTCTACCTAGGGCACCTCTGTCTACCTGTGCTACCTGGATGCACTTCTGTCCACCTGGGCATACATCTGTCTACCTGGATGGACTTCTGTCTGCCTGGGTGTACCTCTGTCTACCTGGGGCACTTCTATCTACCTGGGACACATCTGTCGACCTGGCACAGTGGCTGGAATTTGAACCCTGCATGCTGAATGCTGGTGCACAAGGGGACGTGGATTCTTCTAATCCCCACTGCCGGGACTCTCTCTGTGTGGTCCAGTCGCCCAGTGTCATCTGTGAAAAGGAATTGGTTAAATTGTCCCTTTTTGTTGGGATTTGTCTGATTAAGGGGCCTGGAAAGCAGCCCCACGGACTTGGTTTTGTTGGTTGGCTACTCCGTGTGACCCCATCCTGCATGTCTGGAGTTCCTGCCGGAGACACAGGCACCATCCGTGACTGTGCATCAGACGGAGGACTCAGCCACCAAGCAGCCAGATGGCCGAGTCTTGTGTGAGCCACCTGCCGTGTGGCACGCCGTGGTGGTGGCCCCGCAAGCTGCTGTAGCTCGTTTCTTCAGGACTTCTGCTGCCCTGGTGCTTCCGCGGCCAAGGAGGAGGAGGGGGCTGGAGCTCTGGGGTCACCTGCACATGCCTCCCCGTTCTCGTGGGGTCAGACCTGGGGTCGCTGGGTACGGTGCACGCTGGAGCCGCGATGGCCTCGGGGACGTGTGACAGTGGACCGCATGGTCCCTGCTTGCTCCACCCCTGGAGCCCAAGTGACGTGGAAATCGTGGGCTGCCCTCTGGACACAGCTGGGGAGCAGTTGGGCCCATCAGGCTGGTTTCATTCAGGGGCTGGATTCATCTGGACCGAACCCGTGACACCCACTCCAGCATTAAAGCGCCCCGGGTTCCGACTCACACCTCTCGTCCCACCTGACAACACGTCAGAGAGCAGGAGGTGCAGTTCACACAGGAGGTAAATCCAAACAAAGCAGTGATGGGAGCACAGCACACGGGGCCTGCGTCCCCAGGAGGAAACCGAGAAGACACGGACAGCTCCAACACGGAAATTGGCCTCGAAGACCTGAGGGCATCGCATGGTCCTCCCAAGCACTGAGGAGCTGTCCCATCGGTGCCAAACGTCCTCACTGACGGGAGGTGGCAGCCCGTGCCTCCTTTGTGGTGGTGAGCCAGAGGCGCCCACGGAGATGAGGGTCCCACGTCCCGTGGCCACGGCCCCTGTTCTGTCGGGGCGGGGCGCACGGGCCTCGTTCCTCCACAAGACGTGTTGGAGACCCGTTCCACCACTGGCACTGCCAGCACACGTGAGGGGGAGCTGTCTGCCTCTGGGGGCGCAGCCCCGGCAGCACCTGCCCCAGCTGCCCTCCGGCCGCTGCCCCTGAGGAGCCCAGCCCATGCGCTCCCTGGGGGCTCCCCTCTGCTGTCTTCCTGCTCTGCCTTCCCAAGTAGTCCGATTCCCATTACGACTTCGGCGGGTTTTGTGAGCACCATAAACAGGTCAGTTATCTGTCCCCTGAACAAGGCATGAGCCTTTGGCACCCGACCCTGTTCTCTGGGACAAGGGACACGGTGACTTCGCTGCCCCCAGAGCCCAGGAGAGGGGGTCGCCGCGCAGCACCTCCTGAGACCACTCCCAGGGCTCTCAGGGCTGCAGCTGCCCCGAGGAAAACCCCGGACGTCCTCAGAGCCGTGACGACTCTCGACCCAACCTTGGATTTCAGGTCCCTGTCACCTGCTGGCCTGTTCCCATTGCAGAGGGGACACATGATTCCTGGGGCTGAGGAGGCCGGGTGAGGTCTGGGGCCCTCCTCAGAGGCCGCTCTGAGTCTCATGCCTCCCTGGGTGGGGTGCTTCCTCCGCAGCTGCCCTCCCCGTGCGCCCGGCCTGCCTGGACGAGGGCCCATCCCGCCTACCACTGTGCTCCCTGCCCACGCTCCCATCCCGCAGAGCCTCTCTGGGGTCGTGGTCAGCCCCATTCTCCTCATTTCTCTGGCCCTCCTGTTACAGCGCCCTCCTCGGAGGCGAGGCTCTGGCGCAAGCCCCCAGGACACCCGGGACTGAGAGACGGGGGAGTGAAGCCGCGCCGTTGCCGCCGGATGGCCAGGGCTGACTGTGGCCACAAGGAGGAAATGTTAGGGTACAGAAGGTGTCAATGGGACAGATGACTTCAGCACCTGGCCTTGAACTCACAACGAAGTCAAGAAAACTGCCGCTGAGAATCCGCCAAGCGCACTGCGCTGCCTCAGCAAGTCCAGCCCCTTGGCATCCGCGGTGTTGGGCGAGGGCTCCGTCCCTAAACGCACACGCACGGCTGGGTTGCCTGCTGTCCCCTCACCCTGTGGCAAGGGACAGCGTCTGTAAGGGGTCAGGGCGCCTCACGCTGTTGTGGCCATTCTGAGTCCGAGGCGGAGGACACAGGTTGCTGAGGTGAAGCTGCGAACAAACGACCTTATGTGCTCCTGCTGCCGCCCAGCTCTGGGGCAGGCACACGCATGTGGCATCCCGCACCACGCGTGCACGCCTGCACCACGCATGAAGGCACATCTTCATTCTTCCAGAGGTCAAGGCCTGGCCATCACTCAGACACACCATCATTGCACCCACAAGTCTGGTCGATGGACCCCCAGGAGGACTTGGGGGGCAGACAGGCCGGGATCAGGCTCCGCCTCTGAGGTTCCACGCCGCTGCGCGCCCAGACATGGCTCCTTGCTCCTGCGCGTCCAGACACGGTTCCTCGCTCCTGCGCGCGGAGACACGGCT